CTTATAACTTTTGGTACAACTGATCTGAAACTTAAAATATTGATTCAATAAGTTTAAGATCAATATATTGTTTGAAAAATAGCTATTATGTCAAAATAAGAAAACTTAAGATTCTCATGCGAATAAGCAATGTTTTTATGAGCGACTGTTCATCGTTAGTTGCCAACGACGGTAATATAAACAAGGTCAAGGCAGGTCAAGTTTGTATCGAAAGCGATTGACTGTTAGATTTTCTTTTATACTATTTTATAACTAAAAAATGTTATTTCCTACAAATTTAGCTTTATTGTAGCTTTATTAAAGGTATAAAAAAACCTGGAAACGGTGAATTACTATAGATTGAAAATAATTATTAAACTATGATTGAAATTATCGACGTAGAATGCTATATTTCGTTGTATTAAATTTCAATAGTATATAAATAGTAATACATTTGACATCCGTAAGTACAATTTCTTACGGCTGAATCGAACGGTGGTATTTGCTGCCGTAGCGAGCGAGCGTGAAGCGAGCGAGCGAGGCAGCAGTCCTAATCTTTATGCATGAGTCAATTCCAACTGCGATCATCCCCCCCCCCGGGCGAACCCCCGGGAATTTGACTTTTCAAAAAAAATACGGTCAAATTTCCGACGGTGCGGGCGTAACCCATTGTCAAATTCCCAACGGTGCGGGCAAAAACATACTAGTCAAATGTAGCCTGATAACAGACCTACGTTTCGCCCACCCTAAAATTCGCGGGTCGACGAAGAGCGAAACGTAGGTCTGATGAAAATGTTGTCAAAAGTGCATGTAAGTCGACCGCCAGGCGGTCGACAAAGCTGATTGGCTAATTCACAGGGAAATGGGTTGTGATTGGTTGGTCGCTAACATGAAAAGATTTGAAAATATCAGAATATTCTCAACGGTAAATCAACAAATATTCTAAATATTTTGTGATGCCGAACGGCAACTATCTACCGTATAAAATTAAAACTAGAGGGGAGTAGAACGGTACGTGTCAAATTCTTCAGCGTTGTATCTTTCCATTGTAATAAACAATACAATACAGTAATTATATAGACAGATTTTATCGCATTTATAGAATGTGTTGAAAATGTTGTATTATTACCTTAATAGCTGTAACTGTTTATTTACAAAGGTTTAAGTATATAAAGGCAACAGGCTTCATGGGGTTACCAATATTTTAAATATTTATTCGAATATCTGTCTCTTGACTAGTTTACAAACTTGCAATAAAGTGAATCGACAACTTTCATTGACATTGTATTTTAAGGTATTACATGTATGTGTCAATCATCGTTGTTAATTATTGCAAAATGCAAAGTGGGCGGAAGGCGCTTTTGACAACATTTTCATCAGACCTACGTTTCGCCCTTTCCGTCGACGAATTTTAGGCGGGTGAAACGTAGGTCTGTTATCAGGCTAAGTCAAATGCCCATATCTGCCTCGTACGTTTCCCATATAATTTTACATGAAGAGAACCAGCTAGACTTTAATGTTTATTTAATTTTATGATCGGCTCAAAACTTTTAGTTTTGCAATTTATATTGTTTTGAAATGCCGTTTCTTTTTTAATTTATGCTCGCTATTGTAAGTTCAATTTCTTTTTATCTATAAAATATCATAACGATACATAACTTTTGAGACAAATTCTGCAAAAGAACAAGCAATTACAGCCTTTTTGACGTCCTTGGTCGAGTTCCAAACTTTGTATAACGGCATCTTATATAAAAACTATTCACGCCGTGCAGTATGTTTTTATATCACGTCTTTAAAAAAATCACGTTCATCAACGTTCATCTACACCAAGCACTTAGCGCGACCGCTGGCCAATTTTGCGCCAGTGATCAGTCAAATGAAAGGGGTCAAATGCCCGACGGTGCGGGAATGTTTTCGCGTCAAATTCCCGCCTATGCAGGATTAATCTCTGGTCAAATCCCGGGGGTTCGCCCGGGGGGGATGATCGCAGTTGGAATTGACTCATGCATTATGTATATATAATATATATATAAGGCAGATGAAATCTCGATCGTTTCGGCCTACCACAATGGACTGCTTCCGCACCGGCAGGCTATTCTTGCCTAATAAACAGGCATAAGGCAAACAAGCAATGTGATCATCTTTCATCTTTGGTTTTCTTTTATGGAAAGCCACAGCTGGCGTAAGTGATCAAACGGCATTTTGTCGATACGCAGTGGTTCGAGCGTTATACGCGGTGGTTTCGCTATTATACGCAGTGGTTCGAGCATTATACGTGGTGCTTTCGCCATTATACGCGGTGCGTTCGCCATTATATTTATACGCAGTGGTTCGAACATTATACGCGGTGCTTTCGTCAGTATACGGGGTGCTTTTAACATAATTTCCATATTCTTTCCATGTATATAATCTCACGATTGCTTAATAAATCTGGTAGGCCTATGTGGCTGTGCTTTTTGCCTCTGGTCTGCAATTACAATGACATGCTTTTAAAAAGGTATATTATAAAAAGGTGACTGCACTTTGTGAGTTCTTATATATTATCATATACTGTTGATTTATTAGTAATAAATATGTGTATATAACATAGGTATATAAATTACTATATTTATTATTAGTAATTATATTACTAATTTTGCGATGCTCTTTCATGCTATGATGGAATTTTGTCTAGACTTGTTGAGATCAGAATTTTGGTTAATTGGGGAATGGTGATTACAAATATTTCTGGGAACACTGCTATACCAAGGCAGCATTCACTACCCTGTGGGTAAACTAGTTTTATCCTTATTGCGCCATTAGACATTACAAATACACAGACAAACGTAGTGCGAGTGATTTGTTATAAATAACAATACATACTGCGAGCGATTTGTCAATACAATTTCGCTTGATTTTCAAAGGCCATAAATCGCTAGAATACTGGTGTTCAGTAATACACTTGACATCCGTAAGTACAATTTCTTTATACGCTGAATCGTACGGTGTCGCTTTCTTCTCAAAATATAGGAATTGGTTTATAAATCATAGTGAGCATGTGTAATGTGATAGCTAAATTCACTGAGCTATAATATTACAGTAATATTATTATAGCTCAGGGGCTGAATTGCGCAATCCTGAGCCCACGATGCCGCAATGGAAAGTCACACTTGCGACAACAAAAAAAAACCCGAAAAAATTCCTCGCATTCCAGCGAGGGCAAATTATGACACTGGCTGCGGCCAGTGTAATAATCATTTTTCCAATGGATAGCTCCATTGTATTTAAAACTCCTTTTACCGAATTCTCTTTTAGGTTTTGGAAGTGCCAAATCGGTAGCACGATTTCTAAGGTCATGCAAGGTATCACCTTCACGGTGCAATCGGAAGGATGGTTTTAGATTGGGGGCGGCATGACCATTAATTATCTTATACATAAAGATCGATTTTGTGTAGTTACGTTTTTGATCCAGAGTTTCCCAACCTAGCGTATTAAGCAAATCAACTGATCGAGTATCGTAGGTGGACCCAGTCATCACTCTCGCAGCGCGATTTTGGAATTTTTGAAACTTATATATCCTTGAACTAAAAAGAACAAGGTTTATAGTCAACTTCTCTGCCAGGTTAATTAATATATATTACATTTCATTTATTATCGTTGTAACAAGGTTGTTGTTAAGCCGATAACAGGAGGTGTTCGCACTGCTTGTTCCCAGTTGTTGTAATAAGTCTAGAATAAGTTGTTATCATCTCGTTAACAGCGTATAAAATACCTCACAAAGTATGTGAACAAAATTCGGCTAGCTAGATCCTCGCTTTTAACGCACTTTGGTAATTTATTCACCGGATATAATTAACGCTCTCTCGTTCTTCAAATATAAATATATAATCAATTATATATGATATGTGACATTTTAACGTTCAATGCATTTATTTATGAATTAGCTACTAACAAGATGTTGAGAGGGTACACATACATATTCAACGATACTAACATACAGCTTTATTATCTTTTACATTTTGGAAGCATTGTTACTCAGTGAAATATATTACTGGACAGTATTTCGTGATGGCTTTTGTTTTACAAGGTTTTGTGAACGCCGACCAGTATTTCAGGCCAGGTAAAGGTAAGTATAGAGTTAACAATAAATAATACCAGATTTAGATATTAACTTTACTTATACTGGATACTCTATACCAATCCTAAACTGCTGTTCCGCCTGGAGACCATCCGTAATGGTCCAGACAGGGAGAAACCTGAAACTAAACTAACTTTATCCACACTGGATAGCTCTATCATTTCTAAACTGCATGTTCTCGCTACAGGTTCAATTAGGATAACAATTAATACATGAACTTGAGGTTAATTGTCGTCAACTGGACTCTGGAGCTCAGTTGGTTAGAGCGCTGAACCAGAATCGCAGGGCATCCACAGGTTCGATTCCTACTAGATTATACAGTAGTTGCACTTTTCGCAACTGATTCCGGCTAGGTTTGAGAATTCTATATATATAATATTCCGCTCGAAATTTCCATCTATACAGTACCATCAATAAAACCCCTCAAACTGGAAGTATTCTTCTCACATGCGACTGAGGTAAACTTATACAGACAACTGTATGTTGGAGGAATCAAACCTCGGTAGACACATGTACTGCATGATCACAGCATCTATATTTCCAATATTGTGGGATGCCAAATCATGTGTGTAATGAAAAATGCTTCGGTATAACAAAGTTCTAAATTTTAAGTCTTAGACCCAGGTGGTGATTTGTTTCAGGAAGTCGTGTCAATTTACAACGAAAATTTTACAACCACTGAGTGAAAAGAACCGTACTTTATCAAAGCTGCATCATCGCTTGTAGGAAAAGTCCCTCTGAAATGCCAATTGCTATAACACAGAAAGAAATATAAATTGTAGTAGCAGATATCAACAATCAAGCAAAGTTTTATGAATATTATGTCGTGTACAACCACACTTCGTGTGGATGTCATAGAGTCTCAAAAAACAAGTTACACAAGAATCTTGTTTCTAACGAAGGTAGGCTAAGTGTTTCAATTATTGGACAGAAGAACGTACGAAACGGCTATGGGAATTTTGGGTAAATGTTGGATTAAATGTTGCTGCCATGCACATATAAAAATCTCACAGGTTTTCAACAAGATGTGTTCGCAGTGCTTGTTCCCAGACGTTTACAAGTCTGGGACAAGTTGTTATCAGCTTGTAACAAGGTTGATGAGGTCAACAGACTCACAAGTTGTTCCAACAAGTCTGATATCGTCTGCACGTAACAAGTTGTTAACACGTTGATGACAACATGCTCATAGCAACTTGTTACGAACAGCCTGTATTAGTCTTGTTGGAACAAATTGTAGTAAGTTTGTTACAGTCATCAACCTTGTAACAAGGCGATAACAACTTGTTCCAGACTTATTACAACAACTGGGTACAAGCAGTACAGTACTTGTAATAAATAGTACATAATATATATTAACCTGGCAGATAAGTTAACTATAAACCTTGTTTATTTAGTGAACGAAACTGAATTCAAGGCAAAACTACCTAACAATCCTGAGAACCTGAGAAACTGCATGCAGCCCATCATCATTCTGCAGCAAGTCTCAACCGCGCCATGGGCTGAATCCAACCCTAACGAACTGGCGATTGTCCAAGGACAGAGGTACGTTTGTATTCTTTTATCAATGCTTGCCTGACTGTATTGCTATCACAACGTATGAGAACATGAAAACGGTGAGGAACTGCGCCGCCAGCGTTCCTGGGGCTGGGGAAAATATATCGATCAAAACCGGCTGACACAGGTTGTTGACCATATACAAAGCCATCTCGAAAACAATTAAGAGAGGTGAAGCCAAGCGTGGCGAGTGTTAACAATCTAAACACAACGTATCCATCATCTTTAAGAGGCTGTCTCCGTAAAAACCTCCAGGTCAGTATGGGGCTCAAAAATAGATTTCTCTCATACTCTAGTATTTTGAAGATCTATCCTTGGGAACAACTAAAATCGATGTCATTTTACTCAAATTTCCTTTAAATTATTTTTGGGGGCGATTGATGTTCGATCGGCTGGTAACCAAGTTGATACTCCGAATGAAGGCCAAATATCGACATATTTTCAGCGCTATTTTTTAAATCAAATTCATACCTAAATTTCAAACATTTTGCTCAGAAATATAGACTTATCCTTCTATTTTCGCGGGTGATATGACTTAGATCATTATTCTTTGGTATAAAATAGAAAACAGCGCAGTTATTGACCCTCCTGAACGGATAAAGGATATCGTCTCAAAATATGTCAACTTCGAAAGCTTATTTCAAAATCGTGGCACTTGATTGGCACATGACTTTAACTTTTCTATAAACTTCTAACATTAGTCAACACAAATCGCCAATATCTTTCTGATCTACCATTTGACAAAAATAACAAGCGCGCAAACTTTGTAAAATATGAAAATGCGTCGAAATCGAGCATACTTTATCGGTAAACATAATTCTTGATATTAACAAATAAAACCACCTTACACTACACTGAATGAAGCTTGATTATGTAAATATATGTCTGGTCCGTTGGGTTCGACAGAACTCAATATATTACCGACAAAGACCCGCGAATCGTATAGTCAATTGAACGTATTAAATATGTCAATAATTTTTATTCGATATAAAAGTATAAAGATATAAAACTAATGTAAGTAAAGTATAAATGGTACATACGTGTTCTTTCTCAGTAACTTACTTCTTCACGAGTCTTTGAACAATCCTCTTTAACAACAAATAATTCGTCCGATATATCTAGCGTGTCCGATATAGTTTCAAGTCGCTATTACAAACCTTATAACGCATGTTTTATTTCCCGCGTCTTAGCATAATTAAGAATGGCTAATCTGAATATATTACATAAATAAATATACATTACGTCACTGTTCGCAACATTCTCCCCCGCCGATGACGACGTCGTCATCGCCATATCCTTCGTTAGGGTAGATCACTGCAATCTTCGTAACTGGCCTTCGGTATTCTCCAGTAGGGGTTTTCAATGTCACGTTTCGCACTTTGCCATCAGATCCGGGATGTACTTTTGCGATTCGTCCGATAGTCCATTTCCCTCTTACAGCATTTGTATCCACTGTCATCACCACGTCGTTCACTTGGATATTTCTACGATCTACGCTCCACTTCTTTCTTGGGATAAGTGACGGGAAAACATCGGTTGTCCATCTGACCCAAAACGAATCTACGATTCGCTGCACAAATTCTACACGATCTCTTGGGTTCTTGGTAGCTTTGAATGGACCTTGCGGTACATTGGACGAGGAACGACCAAGCAACATGTCGTTTGGACACAAATACGATCCATCATCCGGGTCGTTTGGAATACGGCCAATCGGTCGCTGATTAACCAGATTTGCAATTTCTAACAAG